CACACAGGTCTAATTGTCCTATATTCTTATATTGTATACACCTAAGGAACCCTCTTTCTGTAAATCTGTGGACATGACTGCAGATGGGTCGCCCCCTTCTGCAGAATTATAAACATAGGATTAACACACATTTCACATTTCTATTATTAAAGCTGCAGTCCTCTACTACTTAACTGGCAGTGAGCCCTATTGAAATCAGTGAGACTTCCGGGAAGATAGGTATACAGTACCTGCAAGTCTGAAACTATTTTTCTAGAAGAATTTCTTCCTATATTGAGCCCTGGTAGACCCTGGTGGTAAAATAATGGATGCAGAACAAACATTCCCACGTTTTGCACACTTTACTAAGTTACACGGATTTTCACATTTCTCCCTACCTACTGGTTACAATTTATTCTTCATGTTTATATCCACGAATGCAAAACTTAACCTACGGTTACAAATCTGCCTACAGACGAAGTTTAGAAGTGCCGCCAGGTTGCTTCCGCCTTATGGCGACCCAATGAATTAATGGCTCCCAAAAGGTCGTATCCTTAATAGCCCAGGTCTTTCCATTCTATAAATAGGCTCAAGTAGCTCCAGCGAAAGAACTGGTTCAATAAAAGTCAAATGCCCTCAATGTACTTGTTGTGGCGGTCGTTTTTCAGAAAAAGCACATCCAAGCAGATGCTGAACAGCGCGGGAAACTGGTTTCCACCCCTCCTGAAGCCCAGTCTCCAGTGACTCTTCCCCGCTGTCCCCTGGGCTTCCCAGCTCCAAAGAAGGAATTTCCCTACACACAGGATGGGGAAGAGCGCCTGGTGGCACTTTCCCTTTTGGACTGGATGCCCCGCCCGTCCCCGTCCTTCACCGGGTGGGCCGGCTCCTCGGCACAATGGAGCAGGAAAGGAGGGAGGGGGAAGGGGGGGTCTGACTCCAAGCTAGCGGGGTGCCCCGCTTAGCAAATGGCCAGCAGACGGCTCTGTGCCTGTGCGTATGTGCGTGTGTGTGTGTGTGTGTGTGTGAGACGGCTCTGTGCGTATGTGCGTGTGTGTGTTGGTAATAGGGACAGGGACGAGCGCTCCCCCCCCCCAGGGCACATATGGTGTGAATATTCCCTGCTTTCCATCAACTCCCAGTCACCTAGATAAGAAAAAAATAAACAGGCGGACTTGTCAGGAGGAAGGGGGTGGAGGAATGGGAAGGAGATTTCTCGCCCTGTTCCCAAGCCCCCCCGAAGACCACACAGGGATGGCACTCCAGCCCTCGTCTGTCCCACCATCCTAACAACAACAGCGAGTCTTCAAAGGGCTTTCTTGGTCTCCCATCTCTTAAGCAAACCCTGCGAAGAAGACAGCGAAAGGGTGCTCCCCGGGCAGCAACGCCCCCCCTCCCCTCCTCTCTTATTACTGATAGGTAAATGGATCTCACATTCGTTTGGTTGGCCGGCCTAACAACCAGCCACGCAACTGTAGCGCCCGAAGGGACAGGGTGTGGTGTCCTGCGTGCTGTGCTGATCTTTCGCTTGCCTTGCTAACTACCATAACAAAGACATTATTCAAATTCAGGCACTTAATTGCAAACAGAAGATCATCAGCATCGGTCCTGCTTTCCCTTTCTCCTCCTCCCTCTCTTCCTCCCTCTCCCCCTTATCTTTCTTCTTCCTCTGTTTTCCAGTGCAGTGGCTCTGCCTCCTGCGCATCTGGGCCTGGACAAATCCGCCCTGCAACAGAAGTCCCTTTTATCAGTCTCTCTAGGCTTTATCTACACGAAGAAACCTCCGACTCCGCCGTTTCCTCCTCCACATAACAAGCACAGAGGAGACAATAGACCAATCTAGAAAACTCGAGGGCGGATGGAAGGAGATGGAATCTCGCGGGCATCAATGGGACTTGATTGGCTTAAATCCAGATCCTGCAGTAGGAATACTAACAACGGCTCATCTTTTTGTATCTAAACATTGCCGAAGTAAAACGTCGGATATTGGTTCAGAGCAGTGGAATATCTCCTCAAAAGTCACTGCCTTTGCATTCATTGAGACTTTTTCCCCCCAAAGCACCATTACAGCTGCAACTATCTTTAAAAGACATTAAATTCCATTTCATTCTTTTTAAAATGTCTGGTGTCCCTACCCCTCAACTGTTAAGCGACTCATTGCAAAGTACTTTTGTTAGAATCCAACTCAAAGTTCCAAAATAAATTTGGAGCAACTGACCCCATAACTCTAGGAATTGCAATTGGGTGATTTCATGAGATTTCTCCCCTTTCCTCTCTCCTTCAGTCCGAAACATAAACCTGTATTCCCTGTATTAGTCTTTCAGCCATAATCAACTCCAGAAAGGTATGTTATATGGGAATTTTCTTCCGTACGGTTGGGGCTCGGATTGCAGACGGCAATTCATTTCCAAGCAATACGGTATCCTGTTAGCATTCCGAACAAGGGGCTGCTGTTCATGAATTTGCCTCCAAAGGTTTCCTGAAGGAACATGTGGAAGCAATACAGTGAAGGCTGCGCGTTCACCCGAGTTGGAGATGCCGCAGTAGTGGAAAGAGATCGTGCTGAGGGGCTGAAGGCAACTTGAGCCCCGAAAAGGGGGAGGCGGAGGTTGGACTGGGAACACGACGAGAGGAGATCCTTCGCAAAAGCAGGGTCGCTCTGCCGTTACTTTTTATTAGCAAAGGCTGCCATTTCCTCCAGGTCCCCATCATCACACACGCACGAAACGAAGTCCCGAGTATCCATGGCCGTGTGCCTTTGGGCAGATGCCCTTATTTCAACCCTCTAACGATACACACACACATCGTGGGTCGACGCGCGCTATGTGTGGTGACCGAAAGAGCTGTGAAGAGAAAACCACTAAAGATCGTACTTCTGTGGGAGGTGAAACAGCAACAGCAGGGCGGCTGAAGTCTAAAACCACGCTCCCAGATGGATACGGAGTGTTGTTCCCCATTGCAGGCGGTGTCGTCGGCAGAAGAACAGATGGCACTGATCTCTGATTTGGCTTTCCGTTAAAAAAAAAAAGCATTATATATACTTACCTTGCGCGCGCGCACACACGCACACGCGAGTTCAAGATCGTTCCAAACACAAAGGTAACCCAACCGCAGGATATAAATGGAATCGAGCTTATCTGAAGAGCAAAGGCATGTTTATGAATGGATAACAGGCGTGTGGAGGCGAACAGGAGAGGAAAAGACTGAAGGGAAAAGACGAAGAGATTACTTTTGATATACTGTGATCTTCAGGATTTGTGGAGTGTCTGCGCGCGTGCGGTGTGCGCCTTACGCTTTCTCTCTTGTTCCCCATACGTATATGCACCTACGTGTCAACAGCACCGATGCACATTTATCAGATCCGTGTCGACGAGCGCTTTGGGAGAGTACACGCGCGCGCGGTGTCCCCCTCTCTCCCCAGGCAGGCGTCCCAAGGGATCTGCGGAGCGAAGCCCCTTGCTCGCTTTCCTGGAGCTCGAGCGCCCCCTTGGCCTCCAGAGGGGAACAGCCTCCGAGTTCCCCGAAAGTGCGCGCGCTCCCCTCCCGGCCTGGCTTCGGACGAGCGAGGCGGAAAACAAGCAGGCGCCTCTTCTGCGTTCCACACGCGCGCGGAACCGCCGGGCGCCCACGCAGCACCACTTCTTGCTCTCTTGCCCAGCCGCCGCACGCTCTTTCTGGCTCGCCACCCGATTCGAAACCGTGAGCGAGGCGCTCACCTGACGCTCACCTTTCAGACCACTGCTGCGGCGGGTCGCTCTTCATCGATCGGAAATGCCTTGCTCCGAAAGACTTTCTCTGCAGGTCGAGACCAGTCCCTAGCCTTGGTTCCGGGAACAACCTCAGAGTTTTGCAGAGATTGTATATGCCACAAATGTATATGCCGACCAAGTAGGATGCATCTCGCCTCCCACCATCTCTCAGAGTCTACCTCCTCCCCACCCCGCTTCCCCGCACTACATCCTAGCGAAGGAGTGGGCATCTCGCCTCCCACCATCTCCCAGAGTATACCTCCTCCCCACCCCGCTTCCCCGCACTCATTCATAATACTCCGGAGTAATCCGGATAGGCCGCCAGCAGTCCTCGAAGCTCTGCTTTCCCCAAACCCACCCGTCATCTTTTCAATCCAACAGTTTAACACGGCGAGGGTGAGCCCAGGTCCGTGCAGCTGACCGCCGGCCCTGGGAGTGCGTGTAGGACGGGAAGGAAACCTGTGTTCATTCATGAAATCAGGACCATTTGGAAAACGAAAGGAGGGGACGGGTTCGCCCCCCGCGGAGCGCATCGTCCCTTCCCCTCCCCCTCCCCGGCCATATGGTCAAGCTCTCCTCCGAGCACTAACACACACACGCGCGCGCACACGCACACACACACACTTCTCCGCCCCCGTTCCAGATGATGTCTGGAAGGTCGGATTGACCCCCCCCGTCCTCCTCCGCCGCCAGCATAAGAGACTTGCAGGAAAGACCCAGACGCAGAAGGAACCCGGCAGGCTCTTATTCTGAAGGAGTCCGACGGGAGGGGGGGGCGCTTCATTTCCTGACAGCTATTTACTTGAAGCAAATGATTAGTTTGGGCAGGATGGACTCTTGCATTGAATCAATTACAGGGGTTCGTTTCTGAGGCCGTCACAGAGAAGGCAAAACAGAGAGAACGACTGACTTGGACCCTTCCTTGAAACACTCTTTCTCCCCCCCACCCCATTCTATGGTACTCATCACGGGTTATTAACTAATCCACGAGAAGGTAAGGGCAGAGTTGTTGTAAAAGTGACCCGCTCCTTCACTCGCCGGCTCTGGAGCGCGCCTTGGACTGCAGCAGCCTTTTGTTGGAGACGGAGATTTAACGAGAAAGGGGGGAGGGACCGAGAACGTAGGAAGGCTCCCTGAAGGGGGACCTGGCCTTTTCCTTCGGCCCAGGTGGATCGGTCCTCCTCCCCTCTCCCCGACTCGCGTGCGCCCCCCTCTGGCCGGGCGTTGCAGAGGCAGAGTCAGCGCTCTCGGATGGGGGCAAGCCGAAGGGGATGCCGGAGGCGACCCAGGAGGGAGCGGTGAGGCTGGGGAGGGAGCGTTTTCCTCGGCATCTGCCCAGCGGAGGGGTTTCAGAGCGCAGGGACCTCGGTCCTCGGGTGTCGCTCGCCCTGAGTCCCTGGTCTGAAGGGAGGCTGCGGCGCGGGCGGAAAAACGCCGCCTTTGCTTTGGCAGCGCTAATGACAACCAGACTTGGCGGAGCGCGGAGGGGCCACCGCGCCGCATTCCTGCAGCTGGGCTGGGAGGAGGGACGGGGGGGGGCAAGGCAACAGGAGAGCTCTCCGAGAGAAGAGGCGGGGAGGGGAGGGGGCGTGCGCGCGTGTGCGTGAGTGCGCTCCAGTGCCCTGATCTAGAGTGAAGCCCCTTTTGAGTAGATGTGTTTCAACAGCGGGATAATCTGCAGATGAATCACGGAACAGGAAAGGGACCGGGGACCTGGCCAAGCACTCCGGGCTTCGCCATCCAGTCTGCGCCTAGCAGATGTTGGAAGGTTGGGGACCAGTTCACAGACTCTTAAGGGAAGAAGGTAAGGAAGGAGACGGAGGAAGAGGAGGAAAGGACTTGTCTTAGAACCTCGGGACTGGTCTTTTCTTTCTTTCTTTCTTTCTTTCTTTCTTTCTTTCTTTCTTTCTTTCTTTCTTTCTTTCTTTCTTTCTTTCTTTCTTTCTTTCTTTCTTTCTTTCTTTCTTTCTTTCTTTCTGTAACTTTTCACAACCAGTTCCTCTCTTCTGTCTGGTTGACTCGCACTCTCTCCTGATGCGGGGGTTTACCTGTGGGGTGGTGGGATTCCGGCGTCCCGCACTCCCAGGGTGACCCCCCGCCGCCCTGTTTGTCTGCCTACATATTCGGAGTGGGAAAACGTCTCCCGGGGTCTTAGAACCCCCATTGCCCAAACGCCGTCGGAGCCCTCCCGGAGCGCACCGCCGCCCTCTCTTTTGGAGACCCCTTGACCGTTGCCAAGATGATCGCCACCCCCCATGCCTTCCTCGCCCGGCGAGGGCGCTTCCGTCTGCCTAGCCGACCCTGACCCCCCCTGGCACCTCGGCCGGGCTGGGGACTGTGCGTAGAGCCAGGGAGAGAAGTTGATGTGGCGGCGGCGCGCATCTGTGTTCGTGGCTGGCTTTTTGGCACTTGGGAGGCGCTGCCGATGGAAAACGCGACGGACGGACGGAGTGTTTGTGTCTGAGGCTGCCAGCGCTGCACGACGGAGGAGCCCCGTTGCCTAGGCAAAAGTTCTGGGCGGGCGCCCCAGGAAATGGCTCGCTCGCTCCGTCCGGTTGCGCAACGTTTGCTTTGGAAGGCGACCATCCAGCGGCTGGTGGGCGATCCGAAGAACACGGCCCGGCAGCCCGACTTGGGGATGGGGGGGGGGAAGAGAGAAACGGATCTCGCACAGTTTCCCCCTCCCGCCGGGCAGACAGAGGCAGGCTCGGGCTCCGGATAAGGCCTCCGCGCCACTACCGCTCCTGCACCGGGATTTCTCTGCCTGGTGCTTCGGAAGTCTCTGGAGGCGAAGAGGGGCGCCTCCACCTTAAGATCGGCCCCTCTTGCCTTCGGAGGAGCGTCGGCTCTGGGATATACGCCTCACACCCTTTTGGATCCTAAGAACGGGCATGGTGCCGCTTCCTCATTTTTTTGGGGGGGTGGTGGCTTTCCTCCGCTCTGCCTTCCGCCTGGAGAGACGGGTGATGTAAAGGAGCGCCTGGCGGACGGTCCCCGCTGCCTTTACGCCCGGGCGCACTCAGGATCCAGCCCCACCGCGACCCCACGGTTTCGGGAGGGAGCAACGGAGCTTTTCGTTCTCTTTGTCTGGTTAATTCATCCAACGGGACGGTCCGAGGAGTCGGGTTGCAGAACGCCCTTCCGTGCTTCTCTCCACCCCCAAACCCCAAACCCAGCCCCCGCCCCCCGATTTTTTCTTTTTCCGGGATATGATGACCCACCGCTGATGCTGTCGAGAGCTTTCCCAAGCTGGAGACCTAGAAGGGGGACAAAAAGGCCCCTCCCCAGTCTTCAAACTTTCGTCCAGATGCCACCTTTACAGGGTTTTTTTTTCCCCACACTGTCGTTGACCTGGAGTTCTCTCTATAGGGAGCTTTCCTCTCTTTTTTTGTGGGTTTTATTGCCTCTTTTTCTTTTTAAGCCTTAGCCTCCTGGGTGTGTTTTTGGTCGTGGGAACGCGTGGCAAAAGCGTTTCTTTCCTTGCCTGCAGATCTGCCCGTTCTGCACCCTAAGGAGTAGCTATTTTCATCCAATCCTCGGGGCCGTCCCCACATCCCCGGAGAAGGACGGGCGCAACATCCTCCCGCAGAGCGCCTGGACTAAAGTCGAGGAGAAGGCAGCGCGCTCCGTGGGATCTATGCCGCTCATAAACCAAGAATCACTTCCTCGCCCATCGGGATTCTCGGCGACCCTGGGAGACCTTTTGAACCCGCGGATTTGATAACCATCCGTGAGCATCCGTGCCACAAGCGCCCTCGTTCCCTGGCTCTTCGAGAGACACAACGGCCCATTTGGGCCAAGAACTGGAGGTGGGCACGGATTCAAAGACGCGTCCTCACAGTTTGGTCCTGGAATTTAATCCTGAAGACATGTCGTCCTTGTTTTTCTCCCCGACGGAAGGGAAGAGCTGACATCAGTGCTGGATCTTCTGGTTATTCTTTCCTCTTGTCTGTCTTTTCCGATTCTTCTCTCTCGCTCTGCTTTTTAAATGAGACCCCCCCCCGAAGTGCATGCTGTGGTTTGCCCAGGAACCCGAGCCTCAAACCCGTTACTCCTCGTCTCAGCGACGCGTTTTGAGCCGTCTCACTTCAGTCGGTTTCCCTGTGAAAGCGCATCGGCTTAGCCGGCTGTGGACAGTATGCTCTGCAATACGCAGCTCTAGTTTGGCCTCTACGGGGACTAGATAGAATATAGTCAAGACGAAGGGCCGATTCCTACGTGCATGGTTACTATTCGTGTACAGTTGATGACTTGGAGCGGAGTGTGTGAATGGTGTGCGCTGGAAAACGTGCAGGTTGAGCTGGGCAGTAGGAAAGGTCTGTCTGTGGTTATTGTCTGTGAGGGCGCATTTAAACCTGCGTTGCCGCAGTCGTCCAATAACGGAAACCCTCAGATCTTGCTGTTGAACCAGAAACCCAAAATTCAGGCCGTTTAACTTAAGACACGGAAGCAGAATGCATGCCGAAGGTGTCTGGTGGGTGGATGCGGAGTTATGTCGATGCTACCAAATGGCTCCCCCCCCCCTCTGGGGATCGCTTCCTAAATCACCGTTTCGCGTTAGGAACCCCGTCGGAATCGCTCGAGTACCTTGGCAGTAGGGGAAATCGCGCCTGTCGTGCGCTCGCGGAGATTCGAACTCAAGTCTTGACCCCAGTCTCTCTTCCCCTCCCCCCGCCTCCCTGTCGGGTTTAGGTAGCAATCGTGCGGGAGAGATTGTGCCTCCAGAGGGAGGCAAAGAATGGAAGGGAACACTTTTCCAAGCTGAGGCCCGCCAGATGTTGGCCTCCCCATCCTCGGGCATGTTGGCAGGGGCAGGATGGGGGCTGGAGGTCCAGGGAAAGGAACGGGCGCGGGCCCTTGCAGGCAGGCGGGCCGCCGTCGAGGGCGGTGTTGTTCGGAAGGAGACGGCGCCTGGCGGACTAGCTTTGCGGAGCTTGCTCGGGTCCTGGCGGGGCAGCGTTGTTTTCGAGGATTCCCCGATTCCCAGAATCCCCCCGGCCGGTGGATCCTCAGGGTGGCTGGGGAATGGGGACATCGGTCGCCCCCGAAGTAACTTTACTGACTTCCTCGGATTAGGAATCGCGGGGCCCAAAAAGACGGCTCTAGGTTGCGTCCTTTGCTTTGTTTTGATTTCTTCCCAGACGAGGTTCCCATGTAGATGGAAAAACAGCGGTTTTAAAATCCCAGAATCCCCCCGGCCGGTGGATCCTCAGGGTGGCTGGGGAATGGGGACATCGGTCGCCCCCGAAGTAACTTTACTGACTTCCTCGGATTAGGAATCGCGGGGCCCAAAAAGACGGCTCTAGGTTGCGTCCTTTGCTTTGTTTTGATTTCTTCCCAGACGAGGTTCCCATGTAGATGGAAAAACAGCGGTTTTAAAATCGCTGACGAGGGATGGAGTTGGCGGGAAGTCATCGACGCGGTTTGTTGAGCTGCAAAGCCATAGTTTTCACTCCTGCAAAACTGTTGAGTGGGCAGGTTCCCCCCCCCGTCTTCTCTGCTTCTCTTGTGAGCGGTGTGAAGTGCTGTGTGAGCTCCGTAACTGGCGGGAGAGGGGGGAGGGGGGGTCACACCAGTCTCTGCATCCAGACGTTACGTCCACCAGCAAAGCTTTTAAATAATCACTTCCTCGAATCAACATCCTCCCCCCCCCCCACCCGGGCGGGGGACCCCCCAAGTATTTCCAAAGGCGCTGTAAAATGAGTGAAGGGGTTTTTAATTATTATTTTATTCCACCCCACCCGGGAACAATTAGAAATGCTGCTTTTAGGATGGGAACTTCAGGATTATTGTCTCAGATTTTTCGAGGGCTCTTGTGGTGATTTTGTGATGTGGCGGGGTGAGTCAACTGGACCGTGCCAGAGACTATGATTTCCCAAAGGAAAAGGCAGCTCTAAATTACAGCTGCTGCTGCTGCTATTACTGCTGGGTCATTTCGATCTTTTTTCTTGTTTTTCTTCCCCCCCCCCAAAAAAAACAAAAAACAGCGAAAAAGAATCTTTTATATTTGCAGTGCTCTGCTGCCCCCCAGCGACTGTTTTCCTGAACAGCGCCCTGAGAGTAATCAACGCACTGTACATTTATTTAACGCAACCGTTCAGGCCCTGCTTTTACCTGTTATGGCAGCTAAAAGGCAATCCCTCCTGTAAAAATAAAAAAATTAAAAATCCCATAACAGTCCAAAGAGGACTGAGTATGACTGAGTATCCACCAGGAGCATTGTTCTGTGTCGACGGTGAAAGAAAAAGAACATAAAGAGGGAAGGAGGTGAATGAACGGACAGGGTTGGATCCGTTAC